AACTAAAAAGGTTCCCCTATTATGAGCCAAAGAACCACAGTTGGGTACTGTTTAGCACTTTTTATGGTTCTAGATAGCACAATTTGACAAAGGTTCTGTAAAGCATCTTTTGAGGCATATTTTTTCTAGGTTATTACATTAATGTTTTCCTGTGTTTGTAAATGGAAAAACAAATATTAAACACAGTACAATATTTCTTACTCATTACTTCATAATGTAGAACTTTACATTTATTAGCATGAAACAAAAATGAAAAAAGTAAAGCTCAAAGTGTCTTTTTTTCAATGATTCCTTAATAATGTTTGTAGCTCACTGGAGTCAAGAACTGTTACTATTTAAAATGAGGTACACTGAAAAAAAATATTCAAAGATGATTCCTTGGATTTACTCAATTTTTTTTACGTTAAGTGGTTTTAAACAATTTATTTGGTCTGAATTTAAACAAACAAATTAAGTTGAACATTATTAAACTTAATTTGTTTGTTTAAATTCAACATAAATAAATTGTTTGCAACAGTTCTGCATGCAACACTTTTTTCAGTGATGTGAAAATCCTCAGAAGTGAGTACTGACTTGAATGTAATAAAAAAAAATGCCTCAAAAGGTGCTTTACAGAACCTGTCAAATTGTGCTATCTGGAACCATAAAAAAGTGCTAAACAGTATCCAACATCAAAGAATTATACCAGATATTCAACAATTAATCTGATAAATAACAACCAATCATTCAGTTTATAATACTGATTAATTGACAATTAGTCGGTCTCTATACATGTAGCAGTAAAGCATTCACCTTCCTCTAATCATGCTTTATTTAATCTCATGTTCGCCATTGTAGCACATGGAAGCAACCAGCTATTTATGCAAAACTGTTACATGCAAAACCATTTAACATGTAGTTTCACTATTATTTTGTTCTTCAAGTAGGGTATTTGCAACTGTCCAAATTTGACAGTTATTATGCCTTATTTCCCTCCAGTAGGAGTGAAATGTTTATTGAAGCACAGACTGGATGATTTGTTGCTGTGAGTGTGACAGGCAGCTGTGAGTCATCAGTGTGGCTTTACTGAAGTGAAAGCGTGGTTTAGTGTCATCACCACTAAAAAAACAGGTCAGTGAAATACTTATATAAACACTTTCAAACCTACATGTTTCAGCAAATTGTGGACAAGCAAACTCTTTAAAAAGGTGCTAAACAGCACTCAAATTAGTTATATTGCTAGTAATCATATAGGGGAACCTATGTATAGCACCAAAAAGGTTTTCCTATGATTATGAGCAAATGTTTTAGTGCCAGTTTTAGTTCAATTTAGCACTTTTCTAGAGCATACGCTTATACAATATTAGCCCAAACATGTAGGTTATCTTTTAAGGTGCTTATCATTTTACCTCAATTATTAAAAATGCCACAAAGTATTTGCTTAGTTGAAGTTCAAAGCATCTGTCCTGACAAGATACAACACACAAATATAACATAAATTCTAATATCCTGACAACCCTACCTTGTATTGTCTATTTGGCATTTGCAGCCAAAACATTACACTAATAATATAATTAAATACCAAATACATGTACACTGATAAGATTCATAGAAATCTAAACATCGAAAATGCAGGAAATTCCTCTCAAATCCTGAGCAAAATGTTTGTCTGCAGCTGAGAGGAAAGGGAGTCAAAAAAGCCTGCCCTCTCCTCAATGCACACAATAAACCCTGTGGAAACCCACAGAAGCTTTCGAGGACAGGTCTGCTAGCAATTACTAAGCAGAAACGTCCAAACTCTGACTGAAAACACACGTCAGTCCCAGCACATAAACTGTTTTCATTAATATTTTAAGTAGAATTCATCAATATCCTGCCCTGCTGCCAGATTACAGCTTTTCCTGGAACCAACATATGGGAAAAAGCCAGAGAATTGCCCCCATCTCAAGATTTTTGACTCCGCGTGTGCAGTCGGTTCGATTCGCTCTGATTGGAAAAAAAACTATACTCAACGTCCAAAAATGATTGTGAACTTTCCAGTTGTCTAAAGCCATGGCAGTCAAAACAACCGAAAAGGACCTCACTCAAAAAAACACTAAAGAGTCAGCAGGGGTTTTAGTCAGTCACGGTAAAGGATTCTCATAAAACTTGTGTTTGGAGGGCAAACAGATATGAAAAGGGGAAACTAGGCTGACATCAGGAGTTCAGGAGTCACAGTCTGGTGAGAGCCCAAGTGTAAGTCATGTCAAAAGATTTCAGTGAGTCAGACTTAAAAAACAGTAGGTATTTCTGTAAAACAGACCCAGGCTGAGAGTAGCAGGGGGGCATGAAATGGGTAGAGTCCACTAACATCTGCAGGTCTGATGTCTGGCATTGATATCTAGCTATGAAGTTCATTCCAGAATAATAAAATGACACAAGTTTCTGTGAACTAAGGGCTTGAGGAATCTAAAAAGCCTTAAAATCCATCTTCTATGCTGTGTACTGTATACTGCACTAATACTGTCATGTGTCGACGCTAGGGGTGTCAAAATTAATTGTTTCTTAGGTGCACCGCGATGCAGATGCGAACAATTCGAGAAGGGTTTGGCTGCAGAGATGCAATTGCATCGTCAGGCTTGCACTCTTGGGTTTGCACGCTCAGGCACCCATGCTTCCTATGCAAGTGACATGATTTACAATCGACACCTGCACCTGTCACGTCAATTGAAATCAAAATAATTAAACCAAAAGTTTCCAGTTCATTTGCGTTGACGGTGACAACGTTGTCAAATAATTCTAAGTACTTAAGTTGCACACCATGACAAAACCCACCCCCACCCCCGAAAAGCAGTTAGCATATCCATCATATGATTATATGCTTTGATGTAAATTTACCAAAGCAGGCTATTAACATTTATACCAGCAAAGCTTATTATTTTTTTATATGAACTATCCAATCTTAATATATACACACAAGGTATTCTTCCACAGTTATGAATAAAAAACACTAGGCAAATGGAATTTTTGTTTTTATTTAAAAAATTTCAAGGAGTTGTATTACAACTAACAGATACACATTATGGACGTACAACAATGATTCTTGAACGACTTGGGAAACTATTCTTTATAACTATTCTTGATAAGTTAGCACGTCTGCACAGGAGTGCATCCATATGAAATCACAGTTGCAGCGCAGCTTCAACAGTCTCTACATTATCCTAGCCCAGTTTTATAGGTCCACCAAACATAATGTCGAGATCGACTTAATAGGGGAACGTCTTGACTAGCTTAATAGAAAAAAAAAGAGGCACAGATGATGTGTAACATTACGGCAGAGCTGTTGTAAGGCAAGCATTGCTGGTTTGTTACGATCTGTTTACGTAACTATAGCAACTGTGGCACCCGTCGGTTGCCGGAAACTAGAGTGAAACGCTTAGAAAAAAGGCACTTGAGTAAGGTTGACAGATAAGAAGTTTGTTGCAACGATCTTAATGTAATCTGTTACCTCAGAGATTTTTCCACCTCTATACACCCTTAAGTTAAATTACAGAAGGACTTTCATGCAAGCGGCCACAGGTGGCGACTGAAAATGACGTCACTTGGCTTGCAGAGGAAGCGCGATTGCCTGAGCGTGCAAGCCTGAAGGTGCAAGTGCAAATCTGCAGCCAGACTCTATTGACCAATTCAGAATCTCATACGCGCTATATTGCGATAGCTTACTATGGCAAGGGAGATGAGCTCAAGCAATTAAAACACTCCAACTACTTAAAGGGTCACGAAACACCAAAACACATTTTTTGAGCTGTTGACAGTCGTATATGTGTCCCACACTGCTAAAAACACTATTAGGACACCTATATTTCACTAAAAAGTGTAAATTGGTTGTTTTTGCGTTATTTCAAGCAAATTTGTACTTCCTGTTTGAAACGAATTTTTGAAGCTGCGTTACGGCCATGACATAATAGCGTGTATTCCAGCGTGCAGACTGGGCGTCTGTGCCTGAGTGAGTCTTATTACGTCTTACAGTGTGATGCATTAATGCATGAGTAAGGCTTGGGTCAAACCAATCAGCGCGCTCTATTGTGCAACTTCATTAATATTCATTATTGTCACCGTGTTTACACCACAAAGGCGCCACGTTGTGTTGGCAAAACAAGCGTGAAGTGTTGCTTTTATACTACAGATGTCCATGTAGGTTAAACACCATCACTTTTCTCCTGTCTGTGTGGGTGTGTATTTTGACTCTGAAACTCGCGCGTGCACAAATAGACACTCCCACACCATCCCACTTTAGTTCCTCCGACACTCCCCCCTAAACAGAGATGGACACGCCCACTTTTCTGACTTTTTCCAAAGTAGAGGTGTGAAAACACCCTGCTGAAACGAGGGGGTTTCATGGCCCTTTAAAAACACAGAAACTTGGTACAGTTAATATGACTGTTTGTATTAAGGGACAAAATTGAATTACAAATAATATATAAATATATTCTTAAATTTTAATACAAGAATTGTTGTGCTGTGAACTAAAATATTTAATTGTGGATAGAAAGCATCGTCAATGCACAGTGATATCGAATTGAACTGAAACGATGGCATGATAACAATCGTAACCAAACCAAACCAAACAGTGAGACCAGTGAAGGTTCACCACTACGCCATTGTTGCCAACATTCCAATGTATGTTATTCTCAGACAAAAAATAATAACACAGAATGAACCAACACTGGATTTCTATAATAAGGTTCTACTTAAAATACTTCACACACACAAAAAAAATTCTAATCTACCAAAAAAATTGTGTTTGGACATTTTGCATGTCGGCAAGATTAGCACATCTGTCAAAGAAGCTGAAATAATTAGCAATTTACATGCATTCCAACAATCTTGGACTTCTGCTGTGTTTTTGTAATAATAAACATAGCCAATTAGGAAAGGTCTGGCAATTTAAAATATATTTGTTGACATAAACTCTAAAAACACAAGACCTGTCTAAATGAAAAAAAATCATATAAATGACTGAAACCAGCCGTCATACTCACTGTGGTTGATATGGAATGGGTCCATTAACTGACGGCTTCATGGACAGAGTTAAATGTCCAACGTTGGTGCCGGGCAGTGGTAATGGTACTTGACCTTGCCCCTGTGGGAAGATCTGCTGAGGAATGGGGCGCTGGGGAATTACATTATGACCGTTGGAGTATCCGTTCGTATGACCTCCGTTTGGGACTCCACCATTGGTGTGTCCATTTAGTGGTCCAGTTGGATGAGAGGATGGAGGGAGAGTGGTCTGTTCACAGGACTTGCCTTTAGAGCCTGGCTTACACACACACATGTGGGGCCCCAAGCACATCCCTCCATTTTTGCATGGGGGTGTACAGTTAGCTGTAACAAAAGGAGAAAAAGCTTGTAAATAAACAGACTGACTTCATAATATGTCCTCAGGCTACAAATTGCTGAGTTATAAATGACTCAATCACCAAAACAATTATGAAATACAAAAAAAAACATTAATTACCAAACTTTAATTCAAGTATGCCTAAAAAGTTAACGTTTGTACAAAATTTTGTGGATAATTCATATTTCAGAGTCTTCAGGTTGAACTATTTTATTATGAGGAGCAAAATGAATCAATTTTAAGGCCAGAATTGCTTTCCGCATGGATCAAATGAGCAGAATAGAGACTGAGAGGCAGAGAGAGAGAGAGCACGAGAGTGGGAAATGAGTGGATAACAGGGTGTTGACTTGTGGTCTGTAATTACATCATTGAGGAGCAGGAACAAAGCTGTCATTCAACTACAAAGAGCCCAGCGGACTCTGTGGCTCACAAATGCACAGCCTCTTGTACATACACACATACACACAATCAGGGCAACTTACAGCTCATCAGCAAATGTGCAGTTAGTCACATTAAGTGATTGAGTGTGTGGAAATTACTAAATAGGAAAAAGATCATAGGGCTCAAGGCAGATGTTAGAAAGGATGATCTCATTGACAGTTTCTATGAGATCACAGTGAACAGCAGCTGCTTTACACACTGCCATCTTTTCATTTACAAATATACCTACTGCAGATCTAGTGCACCAGACCTCCAATTGCATTAGATATTTACATTATTATACTTTTAAAATCATATACATTTTATATGCAAACATTATACATTGGTTAACGTTTAATGGTAAAATTAATTGAGATTTACATGAATAAAGTTTATGATCATTATCATCTTAGTAAAAAAGTGTATCATTGTAATAACAAATTTGAAATTTTGAAAACACTGATCCTCCTGGGCGCCATTAAAACACTGATAGTTGTTTTAACACACAAATCTGTCAGTTATCAAAACAATTAATAGTTAGAGGCTGGTGCTTGACTACTTTAACAGGCAGACGAAGCTTGTGTGTATTAATGTGGGACAATGGATGAAATTCAGATTAGCTTATAAAAGTGCAAGCCAAAATTTGAAAAGCAGATAAAAAGTACTAAACTTCTGGACACGTATAAGATTTATCTAAACAGGTTGTTTTCACATGACGTCATTGATGACGTGTGAAATTTAAAGGGAGGGCAGGAAGTGATTCTTCTACTTAGGAATCGCTATCAGAACATCAAAATGTTTTTGCTTTATATTTTATTTTATTTTAGCTTTATATATATATATATATATATATATATACAGTATATATATATATATATATATATATATATACACACACACATATATGTTATGTTAATGTGTTATATAAAAATCAAAAACAAACACCACCACATTTATACAAAATCCAGGAGAATGTACATAACATATCCTGCAATGTAATGGCTGTAATGAAATATCAGTCTTGTTTTGCAATAATCCATGATTAAATGCTCCCCTTGCGACAAAAACTAGACGGTCATTATTGTGGAGCACTTTTTCCTCCTCGCAAAAAAAATACATAATAATGTGGATTATGCATTCAACCTTTTGTATGCTTTCATCTGTTATTTTGTGATGTCTTGAAGATATCTGCATAGTGGAAAAAAAACTATAGTAATTTATAATAAACATCTTTTAGAAACACATAGTAAGGTGTATAATGTGAACAACTCTTTGTTAATGAATGTTACCGAATACTGTAGCATAGTAAACTGATAAACTGTAATAAATACTGTAACGTTAGTGTAAACTGTGGTGCATTGTGATAATGTAGAAAACTGTAGCCTATTGAATAATTTGTTTATTAGTAGTGTAGTACCACAGCAACAATATAATTACTACAACAGTTGAATTCAATTAATTATCTATAGTATGCTTCCAAACACTATAGTATTTACTGTAGTATTTCTTCATGTGATGTAATATATACAGTACTTATACAGTATATACTGCCTCAATGAAAGGCAAATATATTTTAGTTCAATAGAAAACTCTGCCCTTTTTTTATGATATAAAGATCATTCCCAACATATGTGGTTATTTTCGATTTATATCTCATTTGAATGTGGTATAAATCGCAAAAACACTGACTTTTCTCATTGCCTCCCATTCAGTTGTTTACTCCCTGCCCTCACATCACCAGAACCACGTGATTGAACACAACCTATTGGCACCTCTGAATCTATCCCAAGGAAGGTTTTATTAAATTTGCCTAACTTGTTGGAGCCAATAGCTTTATATTTAGAACGTCGACACAAACCATAGCACAGTGCTAACAGTGCTAACAGAGAGTTAAATTCCTGTCTCAAGGACCTTGTCTAATTCATCTTCTCTTTTTCTGCTCCACATGCTTTCCCGTCTACTTTTCACTGTCCTGTCCAATTAAGAAAAAAATACAGTAATACTCATTTCTGAATACAAACTACACCCTAGCACACACACCCCCACACATACACACTTGTCAGAAATATTCTGTCCATGTGGGCTGGATAAAAATGAGCATTTAATGACCACAAATTGTTGTATACACACACCCTGTCCGAGAGGTGAGACGGATTACATCAAACATGACATCATGAAAACCACTCCCCCTCTTTTGTGGCGTTTTCGTTTCAGTTGACATGACCCACAGCGGGGGATTTCTGTTTTCCTTTCCCCCCTCCCTAGGTTTTCCTCTTTTTCCCCTGTACCTCATTGGCCCTCTGGGGCTCTGGCCTACAAATTCAGTCGGCCCTAAGAAACGGAGAACACACAAGAACACTATTCATGCCCTGTACACCCCCTATACCCACGTGTTCACAAAACCAACACAACTTTGCACAAATGTCAGAAAATGATTCTTTTCATTTTACCGCACATACACATTTACACAGAGGTTAACTGTAGCATTAAAAGGACAGACAAGTGAAATGCTGTTCTAAAATACACACCCTAAATACTCATACAGTATAAGATTCATTATTCAGTGGAACACAAAAGATGTTTGTACTGCTCAAACCAATCAATTCCAAAGAACCATCTATCGGCTAGTGGCTGGCCATTAACAGACAGGCTTAATTAGGCCATTAATAAGATGTGCCTTTTCCACCCATACATGCTCAATTTCATACCATAAGACATTCCAATCTATGACACATCTTCAATGACTTACCTACCATTCCATCCATCCATCCATCTGTGTCTGTTTTTCCATCCATCCAACCGTGTGTCTATCTGTTTTTCCATCCATCCATCTATCCATCCATCTATCCATCCATCCATCCATCCATCCATCCATCTGTGTCTGTTATTACATCCATCCAACCGTGTGTCTATCTGTTTTTCCATCCATCCATCCATCCATCCATCCATCCATCCATCCATCCATCCATCCATCCATCCATCCATCCATCCATCTATCTATCCATCTATCTATCTATCTATCTATCTATCTATCTATCTATCTATCTATCTATCTATCTATCTATCTATCTATCTATCTATCTATCTATCTATCTATCTGTTTTTCCATCCATCCATCCATCCATCCATCCATCCATCCATCCATCCATCCATCCATCCATCCATCCATCCATCTATCTATCTATCTATCTATCTATCTATCTATCTATCTATCTATCTATCTATCTATCTATCTATCTATCTATCTATCTATCTATCTATCTATCTATCTATCTATCTATCTATCTATCTATCTATCTAACTATCTACAGTATCTATCTATCTGTTTTTCCATCTATCCATCCATCCATCCATCTATCTATCTATCTATCTATCTATCTATCTATCTATCTATCTATCTATCTATCTATCTATCTATCTATCTATCTATCTATCTATCTATCTATCTATCTATCTATCTATCTATCTATCTATCTATCTATCTATCTATCTATCTATCTGTTTTTCCCATCCATCCGTCCGTCCGTCTATCTATCTGTCTGAAATAAATCAATCATTGAACAATTGTTAACAAGTCCAAACTTTTGGACTGCGAAGTACATTTGCATTATTCTGACCACCCAGCCACATTTGTTTCAAGCATCTGTCATTGCGAATGAAATAATGGTTGATGACAAACTAAATTAACATTTGGTTCCAAGACTATAAACGATGCCCACACAACCATTAGCCACCATTCTCTCAGTATTATTTAAAACGTGTAGTTCACGACAAGTTTGGTATAAGAGTGCCTCAACAAGGAATAATGTTGTGGTCTACTGTGCAATGTGGAGGTTAAATGCTTTGCTCAACACCTCTTCAAACAAACTGCTGACTGACTAAACTCCACAGCACCAAAAAAAAAAAAAAAAAAAAAAATAAGAGAAAGCCGGAGATAAAAACTAGGCCTCCGAAAGACAGAGAGCAGGAAGGAAATAACTACAGTACTGATACAGAGAGTGTGAGAGTAAAATAAAAGGGCCATGTTGCTGACTCAGATTACCGGGCTATAGGGAGCAATGCTGGGTAATTCCAACATGTCCAGCTTCTTATTAGTTTTATCCTTCAAGTCAATATTGAAATCGCTGTTAAATGTGTTGCATTGTACCCTCAACGTGCTCAGCGGTGTAAGAGCTCACGCACAGCTGAATGCGCCAGACAGAATAGTCGATAAGCCCATTTCAGTCTGCTAGTATTTCACAGCAGACACAGAGCCAATTAAAGGCGGCTGTGGTCGGACCATTTCAGCGCTGAGCTTTATATGTGTAACACATCTAAAAGCTCATTCGAGAGGATCTGTGTGCTGCAAAGCTCCCCCGTTGCTCTAATGTCTTGAGAACTGTTGAATCTGAAAGGTACAAGCAGGGTTTGCTTGGACAAGAAAGTAACATGTGGGTTAGCATGCTAAGCTACTGCCTGAGGACTGGAAGCCTGCAGTGTGACAGACAGGAGAGGCATTTCACAAGCTGCTGTTGAGAGACTAAGACAGTGAGTCCTCTCTAACAAGCCATGCTTTGGTAAAACTAGG